CTTGTCAGTCTGGATCCCTTCTTGAGATATCACATGGCCCAAGAATTTCACAGAACGCCTAAGGAAGAGGCACTTTTTTGGGGCAAGCTTCAAGTTGTTGTTTGAGAGTCTACTGAAAACCAACTCCAACCGTTCAAGTGCTTCTTGTTCACTTTTACCAAAGACCAATAAGTCATCTAGATAGCACAAAAGGGAGAGATAGTTCTGATCCCCAAAGATTGACATCATCATCCTGGCAAACGTAGCTGGGCTGTTGCAGAGGCCCTGAACCATTCTGTTATAATCGAAAAGGCCAACTGGTGTGGTAACGGCTGTGTATTTACGATCTTCTTCGTGTATGGGAAATATTGTAAAATCCCGATGTCAGATCCATTGTGCTGAAAAGGCAGTTTCCGCCCAATGACACCAGGGCATCGGCTTGATTTGGTAGGGGATAAGCATCCTTCTCAGTTCTTGTGTTGAGCCATCGGAAATCTGTACCGATTCTGAGTTCACCATTTGGTTTCCAGACAAGAACGAGGGGGGATGCCCACTCACTATTTGATTTCCTGAGGATGTCACGTTCTTCCATTTCCTCCAAAGTTTGTTTCCGTTTTTGGAAGTCACATGGTGGCACTCTGCTGTAAGGAAGTCTGAAAGGCCTCTCATCTTTCAGTCTTATTCTATGCACAAAGTCTCTTGCCACAGTCCAATTTCCCTCTGGAAAATATGCTGTCATATTTCACAACCAGGTGGGCCATCTTGTTTTTCCATTCATCTGATACTTCACAGGAGGCAATGTCAACATCAGTCAGACCCATGTCTTTCAACACATCAGCATATGAACGTTTTTCTGCCTGTTCAGTCGTGGTTCCAGTGACATTAGAAGGATTACTTTATCCTATCCCAGGTGTTCCTTAAAGAGGTGGGGTTTCAAATGTATCCGGAAGGTGGTGAGTGACTCCGCTGTCCTGGCGTCGTGAGGGAGCTTGTTCCACCATTGGGGTGCCAGAGCAGCGAACAGTTTTGACTGGGCTGAGCGGGAACTGTGCTTCAGCAGAGGTAGGGGAGCCAGCAGGCCAGAGGTGGATGAACGCAATGCCCTCGTTTGGGTGTAGGGACTGATCAGAGCCTGAAGGTACGGAGGTGCCATTCCCCTCACAGCTCCGTAGGCAAGCACCATGGTCTTGTAGCAGATGCGAGCTTCAACTGGAAGCCAGTGTAGTGTGCGGAGGAGCGGGGTGACGTGAGAGAACTTGGGAAGGTTGAACACCAGACGGGCTGCGTCATTCTGGATGAGTTGTAGGGGTTTAATGGCAAAGGCAGGGAGCCCAGCCAACAGCGAGTTGCAGTAATCCAGACGGGAGATGACAAGTGCCTGGATTAGGACCTGTGCCGCTTCCTGTGTAAGGCAGGGTCGTACTCTCCGAATATTGTAGAGCATGAACCTACAGGATCGGGTCACTGCCTTGATGTTAGGGGAGAACGACAGGGTGTTGTCCAGGGTCACGCCAAGGCTCTTCGCACTCTGGGAGGAGGACACAACGGAGTTGTCAACCGTGATGGCAAGATCATGGAACGGGCAGTCCTTCCCCGGGAGGAAGAGCAGCTCCGTCTTGCCAAGGTTCAGCTTGATGTGGTGATCCGTCATCCATACTGATATGTCTGCCAGACATGCAGAGATGCGATTCGCCACCTGGTTATCAGAAGGGGGAAAGGAGAAGATTAGTTGTGTGTCGTCTGCGTAGCAATGATAGGAGAGGCCATGTGAGGATATGACAGAGCCAAGTGACTTGGTGTATAGCGAGAATAGGAGAGGGCCTAGAACTGAGCCCTGGGGGACACCAGTGGTGAGAGCACGTGGTGCGGAGACAGCTTCTCGCCACGCCACTTGGTAGGAGCGACCGGTCAGGTAGGACGCAATCCAAGAGTGAGCCGCGCCGGAGATGCCCAGCTCGGAGAGGAGGATCTGATGGTTCACAGTATCAAAGGCAGCAGACAGGTCTAGAAGGACAAGAGCAGAGGAGAGAGAGTTAGCTTTAGCAGTGCGGAGAGCCTCCGTGACACAGAGAAGAGCAGTCTCAGTTGAATGACCAGTCTTGAAACCTGACTGGTTTGGATCAAGAAGGTCATTCTGAGAGAGAGAGCAAGAGAGTTGGCTAAAGACGGCACGCTCAATAGTTTTGGAGAGAAAAGAAAGAAGGGATACTGGTCTGTAGTTGTTGACATCAAAGGGATCGAGTGTTGGTTTTTTGAGAAGGGGTGCAACTCTCGCTCTCTTGAAGACGGAAGGGACATAGGCAGCGGTCAAGGATGAGTTGATCAGCGAGGTGAGGTAAGGGAGAAGGTCACCGGAGATGGTCTGGATAAGAGATGAGGGGATAGGGTCAAGCGGGCAGGTTGTTGGGCGGCCGGCCGTCACAAGTCGCAAGATTTTATCTGAAGAGAGAGGGGAGAAAGAAGTCAAAGCATAGGGTAGGGCAGTGTGAGCAGGACCAGCAGTATCATTTGACTTAACAAACGAGGATTGGATGTCGTCAACCTTCTTTTCAAAAGTCATCCACAGAGAGGGAGGAGGGGGGGGGAGGGGGAGGAGGATTCAGCAGGGAGGAGAAGGTGGCAAAGAGCAAGGTAATGAAATCATGGAAAGGTTAATGGGGAGGGCCAAGGATTTAGTCAAGATAGGAATCCGCAGCAACCCCCTTGTAAACATCAGCAGAGACCCTGAGGTTATTTTCAGTATTTTGAAACAGCATTTTGGTGAGGCTGTCTCCTCTACTACACCGCTTCAAGACTTTTAGGAAATGCTGGAAACCAAACCTTATCAGGGGGAGAGTAGCTTAGACTACTGGGTGCGCCTTAACCGAGTAGCAGATCTAGCTACTCGGTTAAGGCGCACCCAGTAGTCTAAGCTACTCTCCCCCTGATAAGGTTTGGTTTCCTAAAAGTCTTGAAGCGGTGTAGTAGAGGAGACAGCCTCACCAAAATGCTGTTTCAAAATACTGAAAATAACCTCAGGGTCTCTGCTGATGTTTACAAGGGGGTTGCTGCGGATTCCTATCTTGACTAAATCCTTGGCCCTCCCCATTAACCTTTCCATGATTTCATTACCTTGCTCTGGCGTTTTGTAACCTTTCTTTACCAAGTAAGTCTTCATCATTTCCTGCCACTCATACACAGTACATTTATCTGTTCCATCACCTCTGAAAGTTTACCTTGGACCAGTCTGGCATGCACACTGGGACAGTGTCGGTGGCTACCTTGGATGGAGTGATATTACTTGCTGACAGACTTGAAACAATACTGTTACCAATCTCTTGACCCATCTGTTTGACTAAATCAAGCATAACACTCTGCTGCTTATGGTATTCATCATCATTGGGGTGATTATCATCTCCATCACTCTGACCTGTTGTTTGATCAATAACATCCTCTTGTTTCATTTACTGACCTTACACCAGCACTCCTGGTAAAGCTATGCTCTACCATTCTAGCTATCTGAGCCCCCCTACCAATACTGGGGGTTACAATATCACAGTTAACTCCCCTAGGTTGTAAGTCCTCACTCACCAGTAAAAGTGGTGGATCACCATTGGGCTTAACCAGTGTACCTAGATTTTTTGGTGTGGACATGTTATTCATGACGAGTATTCAAATTAACTTTCTCTTGAAGTTGACGGCAGGTGTAGTCCTCTTCTCTGGAGCACTGCTGTATTCCCCCGGTGATCGGCGATGGCTGATCTTGTAGATCCGGGTCACGGCACCAATTTTGTAACCAACTTCACATATCCCCCCAGAAGAAATGCACACGGACACCCACACTTCAGGTTGACTCGGTTTTTATCTGCAGTAAAATATATCAAACAGTGATGACAGGACGGTCACAGCCACACGTTCACTGGTTAGGTAGGACACACTATATCTTCTAGATAGGAGAAACAGTAATAATAATATGCCATTTAGCAGGCACTTTTATCCAAAGCGACTTACAGTCATGCGTGCATACATTTTTACGCATGGGTGGTCCCGGGGATTGAACCCACTACCCTGGCGTTACAAGCGCCATGCTCTACCAATTGAGCTACAGAGGACCACAGCAGTGATACATACCCTCAATGTGAAGTAATATTAATCCATAAATACAGAGCACAAGTACAACCCTTTTATATAAACCTTTTAAGGTAGTAAGAAAATAAACATTCACTTAATTTCAATAAGTCACCTGCTAGCAAATCACCTGCTGGAAATAGCTAGCGTGACGTTGTAGTGCAGTGACCATCGGTGCTAGTTAGCTCATAATTAACATGGCTAGCTAAGCCAGCAAAAACTTGGTTAACTTGCTGAAATAGGTCTTCAATACATTAACGGCAGACCAACTTCCCAAATAGGGGAGAAGCACTCAAAACCCACTAGTTGTTCTTTCAAAATAAAATAGTACAAAAAATGGTAAGTCTGAAGACCTCTCGTATTACCAACCTTACTACAATGGCAGCAAATATTTTTATGAATTCAGTAAAACAAAATTAAAGGAAACTAATGGTTTCACCCACTACTCTACCGCGAACTGCGGCGTTCTTTGATGTCTACATTGCGCGCGAGGTTGATGGAAACTCTACAATTTCACTTTGTTACATCTGTCCCCATGACTGTTTGTAAGGCCACTGGCATAATATTATATATTTATCCATGAAAGTATTCTGGCAATAGGCTAGCTTTGGGATTTTTCCGTTGTATAAAGCAAGCTTTGTGTTATTTTGAAAAAGGAGTTTGGATTCTATATTGGAGCAGAGGTGGACGTGCCTGGGTTAGAAACTGGAACAAGCAGAGGGGAGAAATGATAACAAACATTTAGGGGGAGGTCTTCTTGAGGAAGCTCCAGTCAAGGACACCATAACCCCCACTAACTTTGTCCAGTCCCCATCCTGTCTACAACTCAAGGTTATTATAATGTATTATATACAGTATGTGATAAATGCTGGCTAATGCTTACCACATCACTGGGTTCCCACCCTGCTCTCTCTCAGGCCTGTGTTTCACTGTGGAGGAGAAATGGTTGCAGACTCAGGCTTTGTGGGCAGTGAAGGATTTCCAAGCTACTACAAACCCAACAGCAAATGTACCTGGCGCATTACAGTGAGTCACTGGCCCTGCACTACATATCACTCCTCCATTACTCTGAATGTTGCCTACAGACTGACCTAAAGCCTTTTCTGCCCTCTGTCTGAACTCCAGGTCCCAGAAGGCAATGTGGTCATGCTCTCCTTCCGCATCTTCGACCTGGAGGCCGATGCCATGTGTCGCTATGACTACCTGGATGTGTACAACGGCCACTCCAACATGGTGCAGAAACTGGGGAGGTTCTGTGGAACGTTCAGGCCTGGTACTCTCATCTCCACCACCAACACCATGATGCTGGAGATGGGGTCCGACTCTGAGACTGGAGGGAGGGGCTTCCTTGCTTACTTCAATGGAGGAAAACCACATGTGGATGGTGAGCTTTACAGTATAACTTGGGCTCTTTTCTAAGGAACAACAGCTTTCTGATTTCCCATGTCTATTAGCTCACATACGGTTACGAAGGCTAATACCAATGTCAAATCCTGTATTCACTTGATTATTTATTGATCTGTATATTAATCATTTCAGATCACCAATTCTGTGGAGGCAAGATGACAAAGGCCCAGGGTGAAGTTAAAACACCCAACTGGCCTGAGAAGAATTACCCAGCAGGCATCAGCTGCTCCTGGCTCGTCACAGTAGAGCCTGACCAGGTCATTACCCATGATGCTCAGATTTTCATGTTCTTTATTCTGCAAATGATGCTGTCATTGTGTTGCACAAACCACAGAACCGAATGTGTACCTAAATGCATAAATATATTGGAGATTCAAGCAACGTTCATCGTGAGTAACGTTGTATTTTGTCATTTTTTTTATTTCTGTCTTTGGGCTAGGTGATTGAGGTGAAGTTTGATAAGTTTGACTTGGAATCAGACAGTTACTGCCGCTTTGACTATGTGGCCTTCTTCAACGGTGGAGAGAAAGATGACTCTCGACGCATTGGAAAATACTGTGGAGACGTCAGCCCCCAGTGAGTGGTGCAAGAATGTACTCTGTTTGTGTGTTAGCCTGACTTCCTGTGTTTATGCTTATGTTTGTCTGTGGTCTAAGTCTATGATGATATACAGATGTTGGATCGTAATTTGATCATCCTGTTGCAGGAGAACTTTCCTTCAATGTAGGAAATGTAAAACTTGCAGTGTATTTGAGGTTTAAAAAGGCTTCTGAAGTTTATAATTTACCTTTGAAATTTCAGACTTGATTTTCTCTTAAGAAAAATGTATCAACCCCTACAAAAAATGTATACTAATTTTAATCATAATAATTGATAATAATTCACATTTCCTGTTGTTGCAGAATTCTTTTCCTGCTGTAACAAACTGGCTCAAATTAAGATCCTACACCTGTATGTCTGTTTGTTTTTGGCACTTCCTTTAGCTGCTAGCATACATCTCACTGTACTCCACTCTGCTCCAATCCTCTGTATCACTCTCCGCCCACAGAACCATTGTGACCAATGGGAACGTGCTCCTTGTGCAGTTTGTGTCTGACCTCAGCGTGACATCCGATGGCTTCATGGCCAGTTACACCAGCGTCCCCCGCGGATCCAGAACACCCACAGCAGACAACACAGGATCAGGACCCCGTATAGAGTCAGTCCCCGGGAGGCCTGCAGTCAAACCCATCCTGCCTGGGAGAACAGTCATCACAACCACCACCACCACCAAGCCACCCACTACAGACAGATACCAGGTCCCCACAACCCCGCAGCCCAAGGAGCCCACTGTTAAACCCAAACCAGTCAAACCAGTCAGGACCCGCCCACCAAATAAGCCAGGCTCAGACAGGACCAGAGTGACTAGACCAGACGGCAAGAGGCCAGGTAAGAGAAGCTGAAGCACTGGTGTAGCAAGAGCTGAGTTTATATATACATATGTCTGTGTGACTGTGTGTGTTAACAATGTTTGTATTTTCTAGTTCCCCTGAACCCACTGTGTGCAAAGGCATGTAAGAGGGATGGAAACATCAAGAGCAGTTTCTGTGCCAGCGAATTTGGTGAGTTCCACTTGACAGCAGCATCATTGGATAGCCAAAAAAAAAAAAATATTTTTTATGATTATTGGATAGAGAGAGGTGAAAGACTGCTGGATAGCCAAATTAATCAAGCTTAACATCTGTACAATCATTACACAGAGATGTTGAGTTCACAGCAAGTTCACAGCATTGCTCAGGCAATTAAACACAGCAGTCACACCACATACAGTACATAAACACAGCTAAACCAGTGCACATCTATCTATCTATATCTATCTATCTATCTATCTATCTATCTATCTATCTATCTATCTATCTATCTATCTATCTATCTATCTATCTATCTATCTATCTATCTATCTATCTATCTATCTATCTATCTATCTATCTATCTATCTATCTATCTATCTATCTATCTATCTATCTATCTATCTATCTATCTATCTATCTATCTATCTATCTATCTATCTATCTCCCTCTTTCAGTGATCACGGGTAAGGTGACAGCGCTGACTCCTGGTCCTCAGGGCAGTGTCTATATCGGTGTGTCTCTCATCAAGGCCTACAAGGCTGGCCGGTTGACCATCACCCAGGCTGGAGTGAACATGTCTGTCAAACTGGTGTCAGCCTGCAAGAAGTGCCCTATCATCCGCAGAGGTACTCTATTTTTCTTCCCAGTCAATCTGACTAGCATGTACAAATGCACACACACTGCTGATTTATCAGTTATGTTGTGTCATCATACACAGTATTGCCAGATTGCCTTAGAAATGTATTTTTAATCTCTTTCTCAGGAATGCCCTACATCTTGATGGGCCATGTGGATGAGGATGGGCGTGGCACAATGGCTCCTGGGGCTTTCACTGCCCCATACAAGGCCCCATATCACAAACTGCTGACCAATATCAACAACCAACCATGCTAACCTCACACACCAATAAGGGGCCAGGAAATCCAGTCTCATGCATGGATACCTTGACAACCAAGGTTATGGTGCCAAAAAATGATCTTTATTCCTGAGGAGTCCATATCGAAACTGAATGGTCTTGTTTTTTCACTTAATGTTTGATGACACTAACTTAATTTCTGAAATCTCCTTTCATCGGTTCCTCACAGGTTCAGATTAAATGACAAGCATCACATAGCAACAGTTTTACCCACCTCATAATAGGGCTATATATGGTATTATTTTTGTAGTTTTATACACATGCAAATGTCAGGCCTTATATTTGTAATTTATGTTTCTAAATAAAGGATTTACAGCACATGGTGCTGGTTGTATATATTTATTACATTGACTTTATATTATTTACTGACACACAATGATGGTATGCCACCTAGTGGTCAGATTTACAATAGCGTAGACCTTCCAATGACACAGAACAGGTGGCACCACCCTCTCAAATAATTAGTATACACAGTTGCTTGCTACAATTCACAGTCAAGCGTTAACTGACGATATCAGACACCTGCATAGATGCGGTAAAGAGGTCAATGGAACGCAGACCGTGGGGGATAGAAGAAGGACCCCAAATTGGCCCACATTAAACAAATCTGATCAAACAAAGTGGATATTCGTCAAATCCGTCATAATTGATGTATTGTAACAGGCCCACAATGTGGTTACTAAAGTCCGAATTGGATATACGTATTTGGCTGTTTCCGCTGCATAGCATTTAGAAGTTGTCCCTTTTCAGGTTTAGAATAATTGAATACTAAATGCTAACTCCCGTTCGTATAAACTGGTAGCATAGCTAGCATACAGAAATCGGTAGTGGTAGTCAAAGTCGTTTTTAACTGTAATGCAGTTGATTGGTGACAATGACATGAACATGTATTGGGGTTGACATCCATACAAGCATTATACTCCAGTTTTGACCCCAACATAGATTGAAATACACATATAAACAATAGTCTAATGTAGGCTAATTTTGCTGGGGGGTAATGAGGAGATTCGGGATCTTTCCCCCACGCGTTTCCATGGCAATTCCATTGTTTTGGTGAGTTACATTGACCTCTTTACCGCATCTATAGCGGATGTTTTGGCGGTGTTTTTAGAGCCTTCAAATCGGTGAGCAGATGCTCTTGCGTCATTGTCATGAAGCCACACCCACCCCAACTCTTGTTAGAAGTTCAAAACGAGAAAGTGTAGGCTATATATAAATAATTAAACCAAATAATGAGGATTTCTATCATCCTAATCTAGGTGTAGGCTAGATTACATATCACATTCCAGTGTTCAAAATTGTAAACAAGGATGCATGGGATTTCTGTTAATGCGAGTCAGTGCAGCCAATGGCAATGTCCGCTTTAGGTATAATGCCAGAAGCCTCTTGTGGATTTGATAGCTTTAAAGCAGTTCCACCTCCAACACCGCCAAAACAACCTCTATGCGGATGTCGGCTGATTGAATAGAGCCCTAAATCACGAATAAGACACAATACACAAACATGTTGAATTGAAAATAAGATAATATGCACAGGGATTTCCAGAGTGATGCTTATTTGGTATTGACTTATTGGTTATTGACCAAATACTTATTTTCCACCATAATTTGCAAATAAATTCATTAAAAATCCTACAATGGGATTTTCTGGATTTTTTTTTCTCAATTTGTCTGTCATAGTTGACGTGTACCTATGATGAAAATTACAGGCCTCTCTCATCTTTTTAAGGGGGAGAACTTGCACAATTGGTGGCTGACTAAATACTTTTTTGCCCCACTGTATGTTACGTTTCGTATGGTATGCATTAATTTGTGGATGTCCATCATCCATTTCATACAATATGTTACGAATTTGCAAAATGTACAATATGCTACGAATTTACAAAAAATATTATATGTTACGAATTCCAATTTGTTGTTGCTAACGTTAGCTAGGTGGCTAATGCTAAGGTTAGGGTTAAGGTTAGGGTTAGTGTTAGGGGAAGGGTTAGCTAACATGCTAAATAGCTGCAATGTAGCTAAAAAGTAGTAAGTAGTTGCAAAGTTGCTAATTAGCTAACATTGTCTGTGATGAGATTCAAACACACAACCTTTGGGTTGCTAGACATTCGCATTATATGCCTACCCATCCACTCTGACCAACCACTCTCCTTTCATTTTTGTCTTAAGCAGGGACGGCCTGTTCAATAGGGCGATATGGGCGACGCACTGCCAAACGGGAAAAGGAAGGGATTTTTTTTCTAATCAATTATGTCACGGCAACAGTAGTTATCAGTGTTGTAATCTGATCTGACTGCCACTAAATGTCAAATCAGGCTAAAGTCGTGCTTCAAATGGCCCCACCCGTTTTTGGGGCGATTTCAGTCAGGTTGAAAATCGCCCAGAAGTCTCTCATAGCCTGTCATGTAAAATCTATTTTTTTCAAATTTCAAAGCTTTCAATGCATTCTCTATGGGTGTCTGTGGGCTTGCACTTACGCGCTTTCGTCATACGTGACGTAACCATGAACGTAACTAAGAAAATAGCGGCTAGCAGCGTCTCTGTTGCGACCTGCAGTGTGGCGTTATCTTATGTTTTTAATTTGTACACTTAGTGGCGTTATTTTATGTTTTTAATTTGTAGACTTAGTTTACAAACATTCTGCCAACCATGGATTTCCAGTGGTGGGTTTTGGACTGATCTTGTTGATCGTGTACATACCCGCTACGAACGGACTAAATAATGAAAACGCTGCTGGCAGCGGAATCCAATACAGCTGGGAGACTTGGCTGGATGACAGAGTCCCGGACAGAGAAGTGGAGCCGGCCGGCTTCACCCTGGTCAGAGCGGACCGCGATCCTGGTAAGAGAGCGACTCTGTACCCCCGACATTGAACTGCTTTCTGTGTCACTGCGACCTTACTATCTGCCCCGTGAGTTCCCCCAATTGTTTGTTACCGTTGTGTACTGTTGATAATCACAAGTTTACTGGAGAACTGAGACCAAGTAGAGACTTTGGACAGGGTGGATATGGTATAATAAAGGCAGTTTATTCAGAGGTAAAGATATCTGGAATCGCGTGCACGGACTCGTTCGTCAAACTCTTAGGGAGCTATCTGAAGAGAGCCCCGAAAACATTGTGTGCAGACATTTTATACAATAAATGATGTAGGTTGAATCTAGTAGTTCTGATCTTCTGATTGGTCCTGATGAGTTGGGCGAGGTCCCCTCCACTGTTGCATTGGCTCTGAGTCGGGTTCTCTGTCTTCAAATGTTCAGCCTAAAGAGAGGGGATTTTTGTGTGTGTGTGTGTGTTTAACAGTGATGATGTGTGTGTGTGTGTGTGTTATCAGTGATGATGTGTGTGTGTGTGTGTGTGTGTGTGTGTGTCCTCAGAGCAAGAACTCGTGAGTTGGAAGAACTGAGAGACCTATGGCGTGGGTGTTGTCCTTGGCCACCTGCTGACAAGGCTGACAAGATAGGACTCTTTTGTCCATTGTTATAGGATAGGAACAGCATTGATTGAAAACAAACGCCCAACACAAAATGGGTCATGCACAAGATTTTAGTCAGACCAAGCTATAACATTATATATTTACTACGACAGTACATTCAACCAAAAGCTAATATAACAAAGGCATCAGAGATTATTTATAATCTGTCACAGAAACTGGAATCCATCTCCCCAGATCAGTCAATAAATGCTTCTGGTATTGACTTATATGCTGCCCCTGTCTTCATGTTGTTGCTGGACATATCTTTTTTAAAATGTGTGTAGGTCACCTAAATCATCAGAAAAATTGCCCCTCCTGAGAATTTTTTCAGGAGCCGCCACTGGTCTTAAGTAACCTTTTCTCTTATGCAACCATACCAAACATAACATATCATACTAATTTGAGTGTCACAGATTTACATTTACTATGTTAGGTCTAGTCTATGAGACCAGGCTGTGCTATAGGACACCTATAAGCCTCACAGGACTAGTCTGAAGGTAGCCCTGTACCAGTTTAGAAAATGAATGGAAGTTTACTGTATGGAAGTAGTTTAGCGCACAAAAAAAGGGGTTAAATATGAATAGTAAAAAAATCCTGATCTTTCTTATAGCTCTCAGTTATAGGACCTACACTTTAAAACAAATCCTTTTGATATATTTTTTGACTCTCTGTTTATCCATGTATGAATCTGTGTTTCTATGGGCTAATAGCAGTAAGGCAAATTCAATGTTTCATCCCCCAAAAATGTATACTTAAAGCGTCCTAAAATTCCAAATCAAATAGCTAAATGATCCTTGGTTGGGCCATTTTGGTTCGGAACATTTTAAGGATTAAAAACCAAGGAGACCAGTCGTATTATCCATGGCTGCAGTTACAGTATACTGCTAACATAATGCTATGATAATGTGTTAATATAATGTCTGCGTAATGACATTGCACACATCATAACTGTTATAACCACATTTGAGACAGTTCACATTTACAATTGGGTTGACCGTTTATTGTAACCACTGGTTGCTGTTGTCACGTCTACTCCCGCTACCCCGCTCGATGTCGCCGGTCTACTAACCACCGGTCCTGGCAACCCATCATTACGCACACCTGGCAACCATCATTAAGCACACCTGCGCCCCATCATTAGGCACACCTGGACTTCATCACTACTCTGATTACTTCCCCTTTATCTAGCACTCCGTTGTAATACTCATCAGGCAGTATTGTTTCTGTTTTCTTGTTCAAACGCTACTCCTGTTTTTGTATTCAAGCTATGCTCGTTACGATTAAACTCACCAACTGCTTCCTGACTCCCTGCGTCTTTGTTACAGCTGTTATAATTTGCCATGATTTTGGAACAGGTAAATGTATAAAACAGGCAACTGGATCAGAAAGTGATTTGATTTCCATGTTTGTTAAGATCTGTAGGCATTAGGACACCTCACAGCTAGTCTGGGTACCCGAGACAGCAAACAGGCTGACTCAGACACCTGCTTCATGTTAGTTATGATTATAGTGTTACCAAATATACTGAATAGATGCTTATCTGAAAAGGTTTGATACATACCATGTTACGTGTGTGCCAATTACCATTGCCTATAGTGTGTACCTGTAGTTTGTTTTATAGCATTTAGTTTTTACTGTAGTTTTTTTTTTGCTGTATTTTTTTTTTTACTGTAATATTTCTCCAGGGAAGTATCCAATATCTCCTCTCTTTCTTCTTACCGTTATCTCTGACATGCATTACATAACCCTTTGCCATCTCGTATATAAAACATGTGTCTGTGTGCCTAGTCACGTCACTAAGTGTTAATCTTTAACCAGTGTTTACAGACTGTCTGCCATAAAGGCCTGTTTGTTGAGTACATCCCCA